TGTGATGCTCAATGATCTGGCGGTCCCAAAACGTGTAATATCTTTGGACCGAGCCACATAAACTCCACTGTTAGTTGAAATTACACAAACAATGTAGAGTTGATATTCTCAGATAACAAAACGTGGTAATGGAAAATCGGACATACACGTACACGAGGCAATGACCATTCAGTATACTGTACTCGCTGGATATTCTTTGATAAACACGGTTCAGATCATGCAGCATACCGTTCAACCTCAGTCAGCCAAGTAAGATTATGGAACTGGCGGACGTTTAGAGGCACTAGTATATCTGGTATACACACTAAGCACTCCAGGTGTCCTTCTCCCCGGTTTATATGGAAATCATGGGCTTTTGGCTGTGTGGCCTATCGAATTCCAAATTAACATCGCTCTGCGGTCCCCGAATTCCAACCTGGTTGGAGTGCACACATGAAAATGCGCGAAACGTGTGTGGTACTAACTGCAATGCGTAGAACTACGTCGGCATGGTTAACTCCCCCGACCTAATCTTGAAATGGATGATGGCCGTTTGCTGTTTTTATGTCCTATTACATCAGCAAGGTCTTTTCTGTAACAACTAGCTAAATGCATGACCTCTGGGTTTAACCCTTTAGGCTGGAAGCATAATCATTTTCGAGTTATTTTCCCAGCAGCAACTGAATGCTGCAACTTGCAAACTCCATCCGAGCGGGGCCCATTATATGTACACTCTTGGAACCTTGGCGTTTGAATCTCAGAACCCAAAAAAGACAGAGAAGTTGCCAGAACATTTGGATTACACATACTATTCCTGGCACTGGGCTCAGGATATTGTGGTTAATTGACTCGCTTTCAGGGTATATGTGCTCACCAGAGCCAGCCTTCCTTATGTATCCTTTATAACTTCCGTGCACGGGTGCATCTGGACCGCTTAGACACATCCATCCTCATAAATGTTCATAGAGTATAGCAAGCTGTACGGAAGAGGTCGGGTTCGAACCACGGACCTTCTGGCAGTAAATTCGCGCTCTCGAGTCACCTCGCCCTGATAGTTAAACATGTACACATTTGGTCTGCATAATTCCCATAGTTTCTGCTGAAGTAACCAATGAAAATGTGAATGTGGAACTGGGTAAATCTCGTACATCAGTCAGCCGCAAGCTGTTCTGTCGCACTGTTTGTGTGCGTTGCATTTTGCTATCAAAACAACGCATCTATTGTGTTTGGTACTCGGAGTTCATTTGTATCGAAAACTCTAGGTGCTTTGCATCCTACTTCCCGACAGCGTCTTGACCCGTGCACGTGACTGCGTTGAATTTTCGCAGAATATGGTAGTTGAAGGTGGAGGATGAAGAAGTATGGTGGACGAATGAGACAAATACCAGTGAAAACATTCACAGTCATGTGGCTTAACATCTTGAAATTCACGCCTTTGTGGTTTGAATCTGAAAGCAGTTTCTACTATCGGCGATGAAGAGGGATTGGTGGATGGATTTGTGGTTCATGAACCCTTGTAAAAATAGCGACTTTCTGACAAACCAACTATTAACTAAGAACATCTAACACAATGTACATTCTGTCCAATCGTTTTCCGACAGGGAGCAGCACAAATTTTCAACCACATGGTTTGCCTCAGCTGATTGTTTTACAGTCACGAATATGGAGTTAAGATCAAAGTCCTAGTCTACAGTGCAAAAAGTTTCCAAAGTCTCAGTGCCTCACTTGTGCTACCAAGTGAAAAGTCTTTTCGCCATCTTCGTCATTTCCGTCAAGCTAAACGATTGTCATACGAAACACCGTTGAAAGTTTTTTTGCCCAGTCATGGAAACAATGAACAGAAGTAAATCTTTTCCCGAACCCATTTCAATCCGTCGCCAGATTAGGTAAAATGTCACCAAGTTGTGAAAATATTCTTTGCTCTTCTTACCGTTTCCATGATGCAACAGAACTTCGACTTTTCAAAAAGCATTTCTTAAGGTAGAGGAATGAGTGAAATTTGAGACTCGTCTAGTTAACGAAGCGTAACGTATGCGTGCATGGGGTGTGCCAAAAAAGTTTATCTTGGCACATGAGACTGCTGAACACTCTTCAATACTCCATGACCGACTTTGTCCTTCCTTTAGCTCATCAGGCAAGCTTATTTTGACACAGACATCAAAGAGCAAGCAAGCGGTGAGATACACTCAGTTTCAAGTTAAGTAGGTGAGATCCACTCGGATCACTCGTTTATGATATCCTTCAACTGGGTGTGCTGAACAGACATCGTCTCACGTCTACGTTGGCACGCTATTCAACCAACGTGTTTGGGAGAACTCTATGGATACTGCTTCAGCATTCGTGACTCTAACTCACTTAGCTGCTATTGTACGCGATACTTCAAACCCTGCCAAGTTCTAGTCTATTAACAACAGCTGAAACATCATTCAGACCGATTAAATGCTCGCCTACTGTAAGCTCTCGATCTGATCTACCCCAGAAACAATTTCAAACATAAGATTCTGCTGGAAAGTTGAGAACGGAGACAAGATTTATTCCATGGAACTGGAGCCTTGACAATTTGATATTCTGGTTCACCTTTCAGCGTGCCAGACAAATTCGTGATTAGCCTGCTTTAACACGGTGATGGAGAATTCAATTTCACATGCTTAGCGGTTATGGAGAAGACCACTGGAAGCATCGGCGTCGCTAGCTAAACTCTCTCCTAGTCACTCAGTTGATTTATTGTGGCGTACTGCCTGCACCCGAGTCGAATATAAACCCACTCTGCTGTGACCCATTGCCGTATAAGAAACACAGGACAGACACCGGGGCTTAAGTTCTCTATTATATCAAGTGAAGAAGAGAGTGATAATGCAAAAGACGCAATGAAAACAAGCAGGTAATTCCCAAGTGAACAACAAGAAGACGCTTAGTTCGGCCAAATGCCGACCAACATAGAGGAAAACGGATAGCGAAGCAAGATGTCTTATCTGACTGCTGTTCCCGCTGCAATGCCTGATGCCAGAAAAAGAACGAATCGACAAGGAACGCAAAAGTTTCATTGCAACACGCGAGGCGTGCAAGTGCAAATTTACAACGGCTCCGCGCTATTTAAGGAGCACTTTCCGACATTGATTTAGGCTGTCTGATAGGCGTTAAATGAACTCCCACCAACACCTTCTATGAAATGCCTAAACGCTGATCGTATTCGGTCGTGCTTCTGTGGCGTGCCTGAACACTCATCGGCTTTTGCTGAATGGTTGATTGACATGGATGCCTGCCGGCTTCCCCACTGAGATTTTGGTGGAGTTTTAGGGTCTCAGTGGTTCCGGAAATTCTAGGGTTATATTCAGGAATCTGAACTTCCTGATGCAAGATGAGTGGGTGTTTATGCGAGTGTAGAGTCTCAGTAGCGGTGTTCTGATGTGGAGCCTTTCATGCATTCAAACATTTACCTTTCCCACTCAGTTGTCGTCAGCTGAAAGGAAATCAACTTTAACCTGGATTTGTGCACCAGGGGACAATGGTCTTTGATGGGAGTTTACTTCTCTGTAAAGGGTTTCTCAGGGGTAGCACAAGTATGCCTCCTCATATCACTAATAAAGCTTATGAATAGCCTCTAGGTGAAAAGCAAGCCGTACCAGTTGACCAGGTCCAACTTTGTCACTGCATCATCCCAAATATCACTTGTTAATGCGGTTCGTTTGGCAGCTAAAAACTCGATTTTTGAATTGTGTATAAATTTATCGACAAATCCATCGCCAAAGCCTCGGGTAGATTAGCCACGCCAAAACTGACCTAAAGGCTAAGCCAAATCCACGCCCTATAAAGATGATTCTTTGAGAAAGCACAGTGCGGCTTTCATCTGTGAGAGGCGAACGAGAATGTAGGTTAGGTTTCAATACGAAATGATCAACAATCTCCGTTTGTTTCATGTATTCCTTCGTTTATTCTGGCATGACCATAAATATCGCTGTTACCAAGAGAATATCACGAAGAACTATTAGACGATCAACCGGCCAAGTCACTCAACAGCCCTCTTCACTGCCCCACAGCATCCAACTAGATGCGAAATGGGGGGAGGCGCAGACAACCAGTCGTTCGTTTCTCCACGTTTTTGCGTTTCACTAACCAATCTTCGTAGTATATATCATTTTTCGCCCTTATTTTAACCATTAGATATGTACTGACCTGATGACGAGATCCCGAAAACCTTAATGTTCGTCACTGTGTTATTAGACAATTATTGCATGATTACCTTGGTCCTCGATCGAGTTACACAGCATTTTGTCTAGTGGAGGATTAGTCGTGAAATGCAAAAATTCAAGCTGATCAACCAATTCAGTCAGGATCGAAGAAAGTCTGCCGGAAACTTGAAAAGCTTACCTACAATCGTAGATTATCACGTGTCCGCAGGTTATTTCATTAGGTCCTGATAAGGTCGCTCATTGGGTCATGCAACTAGGAGCCTTCTATTTCCAGATTTTGTAACAACAACATTATTGGACCTGTTAAAACCTTCATTGAAAGCAAACCAGTGGGAGTGTTAACGTTTAGGCCCAATCATCCTCCATCTCACCGTCACCAGGTATTATCTGGTGGTCCCGTTTTAAGAGGTAATTAGTGATCATTTAAGCGGTACCAAATTATTAATGGTAAGAAACGGACCACAGGTATCCTGAATAAGTTGACAATCGTTTTGAAAGTCATTCACTTTTCGTGTGTTCGAAATTCGGTGGTAACATGATTGATGCGCAGGATTTCGGACAAAAGTGAACACTATTCTGAGTGGTGTACCAATGACCGTTTCCACCGAAATAGTGCATCAAGCTTTTCGCACCGACAACATCCCTAACAAAAAGGCGTAATATAAAACGTAGCTTAAATTTTTATCTCATAAGCTTTGTGAGAGATTCTTTTCTTTTTTGAAATCTTGTCGAATATTTATGAACACTATTTTGTATGCTTTGTATCCAGAGATGAAAGTTATCTTATTGGAGTATGCATATCGTTCTGTCACTTGGACGACACTTTTCTCGTTAAACGTTTCCCGCATACTGATCCATAAAAACTTGTGTGTGTATCAGTGGGTTATACCCGTAGATGTTGACGAACTCGTTGATGCATTGGGAACGCGTTTGATAGTGGTCATCGCGTGAGCTCAGCGCAGCGGTGCAACCATGACACGGAAAATAGGACTCCTTCAGCACCTGTGGAAGCAAAAGATAGTTGTGTGACAGAGGGGAAGAACACAATTTAGCAGCTTTAATTAAAAGATATGGGACACAACACCGGAAAATAAACCGAAACGGTAACTTACGCCTCATCACATTAGTGTATCAACAGCAAGTACTTAGAATTCCATGGAAGCTCGGCCCAAACAAGAAACTTCTTGTTCCGTGACAGAATTTCATGATTAGACAGCAGGAACTGTAGATTCTCCCAATACTGAACGAATCACTAGGGCTTTACTTTTGCAGTAGTCACCTCCAAGAGAGGACCTTCAAAGAGTCTATTAGCTTCCAGGGGAGAAAAAACTGGCATGGTTGTCGTAGAAAAATCTAATGGATCAGGGTGCAAATAAGGTGATGTCCGTGGTGTCGTTTCCAAATCAGAATAAATAAATTAACGTGACAACACACTACTCATAAGGTTTCCGAAGAATTTCCGATATCCCACTGCCGGTTTTGCCCAGCTCGAAATCCATCAAGCAAGGGAATTTACCGAGCTTCCATCAAGACAATGTCCCAACTGAAAACCAGGTTGTACATAACTGACGGGATATATTCGCCTTGAAATTACCTCGGTTTTAACGAAAGCATAAAATGAAGCCCTCGTCCATTGGGTCTTAGAAACCTAAAATGTGGTGCGCTGTGTCGAGGAGACGTAAGTCGAAATCTGAGCGTCGTGTCAAATGAGACATGAAGTCGTCTCATGTATCCCACTCGGCTGAGGAATTTCATAAACAAGAGGTCGGTTGAATCTCGAAGTTATCCCTGGCTAACGCAAGTGGTACATATCAGGATTGCACACCTCGACAGCCAAAAGGATGTAGAAATGAGTTATTCTGACGTGGCTACTATGACAAGACCAGGAGTATAATGTGATATCACACATTACAGTTAAGCTGAAAGTTGATTGCTTATATTTTGCGCCAGCTGGGAGTTCCAAAGACAGGATAAACAACTAATACTAATGTCATGAGAACAATGAAGGCAGTGAATAAGGCATGTTTTCTACAATTGTTCCCCTTGGCTAATGCATCACAATTTCATATGACACCAGAAATCACGTGGAAAAGGTTAAAATCGGGGCTACATACACTTTGGAGGAATAGAATTCAAAGGAAATGGGTTTGAGTGAGCTCTGGGTGAATGGGTCACAGAATCAGGTTTGTGACTTCACTGTCAGACAGGCGTGTGGGACCGGAAGTTTCGCAGGCCACTTCAAGTTCAGAGGTCACACAAGTTTCTTTTGGACGCAAAGTTGTGGATTCCAATCGCCTCTGAGATCGATACTAGTCTGAATCATACCAGTCGGGATCGGTTCAGAGGTAGGCGGTACATGATAGTTAAGGCTTGTTCTTTGTCGATGACGTGGCTGGTTTCGGCCAAATGTGATGAAATTGCACCTGAGCCTGGTTTCTTCCAACTACCACTCAGAGATACGGGATTGTGTCCTCGCTTCCTGTCCGACAAATGCCTTGTTGTACGACCAACGTATGATGCTTGACACGAGCGTACAAATGAGTTCACATAAAAGCTGGTGGTAGAACGTGGCAATTTGTCCTTCAAGCGGAATTCGATAGTGGAGCTAGAGTTGAAGCTCAAACACAGATTAGCAGCCATGTATGCCGTATCAACAGGGTTTCTGATCCTTCTGGTAATTAGTTCAGCAACATATAGACAGGCTTCTTCCCAAAAGAACATTGTGTAGGTTTGTGCTTAAAGGATTCCATAGTCTTGAGTAGGAAGGAACCTTTCAGGATATTCGTTCTGTAGGAATGTGTGCCCCAAGAGCATTACTTCCCCCTCTAAATTGTCAGGGGAGCATACCTTCACTGCTCTCTCAGTTAAGCATCTAGTTAAATTATACTTTTGATACCACATACATGGCTGCTAATCTGTGTTTGAGCTTCAACTCTAGCTCCACTATCGAATTCCGCTTGAAGGACAAATTGCCACGTTCTACCACCAGCTTTTATGTGAACTCATTTGTACGCTCGTGTCAAGCATCATACGTTGGTCGTACAACAAGG